CATCTCACCTTCTTTCTTTAGTCCAAGTGCTGGAGCACGTTAGAGTGACCATGGAGCGCGTTTGCTGTCATGTAGTTCAGCGTTAATAAGCCGTGAATAGTTGTAAACGGGGCGCCTTTGAGGAGAAACAAGAAACGGGACTTCGAAGCCATGGCCGCACGGGAAGAAGGAGAGGTTTTGCAGGGGAAACTAAGGCACCACGACGGGGCTGGAAGTGTAAACAGCTCTGAGAGCTTCAGGAACGGCTATGTGAAGAGCTGCGTCACCCCCCTTAAACAGGACCATCAGAGGGGGTTTTTGTTCAGCGTGTGCAGGTTTTGTAATGAAGACGTCCTCAATTCCAAACTGTTAAAGGTGTCCGCTCTGTACGTGGGCGCCTTTATTGTTTTCGCCGTATCTTTTCTCATTTCCAGGAGCTTGCAAAGTGACTCGCTGTGGGATTTGCGGACTTTTTTGCTGGGCTTGTCCCAGTCCATCAGTCCTCTGTTCAGCATAGGATGCGCCTTCTTTTTACTCACCTTCTACCTGAGGAGGAAGAAGAAGCAGAGCAGCAGATCGTGGCTCTTGTCACTGCCAGCTTCGTGCTACCTCGGGGATTTTCTGGTTCTGCGGTTCCTGCAGTGGGGAGAGGAGCAGCACCAGATGCAAATGGTGGGCAGGTTGTTGTTTGTGTTGGGATGCGTGGGTCTGCTCACACTCATCCCCACGCTCAGACTCAAGCAGAGCGTCCTGGTCCTGGTGTTCGCCAGCGTGGTGTGGCTGCTCTCCCTGACAAGTTTGAGCGGTGTGCCCGCGCTGCTCAGACCGCTCCTGGCCTGCTTGGCGGGGGTCTCCGGCTCCCTGGTGGGGATCTCCTTTGACCGCTATTACCAAAGCAGGGAAGCGCTGGCTGGGATTTCCAGCGCGGAGGAGAAGGTCCCAGTCATCAGACCCAGGAGAAGATCCAGCTGTGTTTCACTGGGAGAAACCTCAACCAGCTACTATGGCAGCTGCAAAATGCCCCGCAGACCCTCACTGCCATGCATATCTAGAGAGCAGGTAGGTCACCCCCCCCCTGCAGGTCTGTTTTAGCTGCAAAAATAGGAACACAGATAATCCACAGCTGATCTCTGCACGGGTGGAAAGCTGACAGTCAGCACAGAAAGCAGTTTAAGTTGAGGAAAAACATTATTGCTGGGTGCACAACTTTATAGATAACTTCAGTCCTTAAGAAATATCCTATGTCAGGGAGAGCAATGTCAGAAAACAGCATTCCAACATTTTTTCCAATTACCAATATATATATATATAATGATTATTTTGCAAATTGGTTAATCAGTTGATTATTTCTTTCCTATGAATTGATTAATAATTGGATAGTAAAAGGTTGATTTTTTGCAAAATTAAACCAGGTAAAACTCATACTTTATGAGGTTTTAGTTTTAGGAGTTTTATCTTAAATGCAATTTTTTTTTAATAATTTTAGTATAATTGCTGCTCAATGTGGGTTTCCATGTCAGCTAAAGGCATGTTTTGGAGTCTGTACACTCCAGTGAACAGTTAATTGATTAATGAATTAGTTGGCATTCATTTCGATAATCGATTAATCCGATTAATGTCAGCCGTAGTGTATATATATATATATATATATATATATACATATATATACATATACATATATATATTAGGGCTGCAACTAACAATTATTTTTGCACATTGGTTAATCAGTTGATCATTCTTTCTATGAATCGATTAATAATTGGATGGTAAAAGATTCCTTTAAGATTTTTTGCAAAATTAAACCGGGTGAAACTCATACTTTAGGAGTTTTAGTTTTAGGAGTTCTGGATAGAGCATAAAGCAAAATGTTAACAAATTTTTACTTTTTTTTTTTACAATTTTAATATAACTGCTGCTCAAGGTGGGTTTGGTTTTAGAGTCCACTCACTCCCGTGAACAATTAATTGATTACTCAATTAGTTGGCAATCATTTCAATAATCGATTAATCCCGATTAATTTCAGCCCTAATATATATAAATATATATATATATATATATATATATATATATATATATATATATATATATATATATATATATATATATATATATATATATGTATATGTGTGTGTGTGTGTGTTTACGCTCAGTTTAGTGTCAGGTTGAGTAAAAATATCGTGGTGTATCATTGGTTTCACATTGTTAATGAGTAACCAATATTTAAAGTAAAAGTGCACTATGTGTTCTTAGTGCTTTCCTGCTGCTAATGAAGTGGAAGCATTGTGACCCTTACTGCTAATAATACTGTTATATGTTAGTTATTTTGTTTTCTTTTAGATAGTGAAGGGAAAAATGTACAACTATAACTCTTTTAAAATTAGGAATATTTTCCAAGTGCTTTTTTTGCAGAACATATTTGTTCTAAATCTTTTATTTTTGAGTGACACGAGGAAAGCTGCAATATAAACATGGTGAAGTATTTCTTGGATTGCAATGATTGTTTGCTAATATATCCTAAGTTTAAGTTTTGTTTGGTACTATTAAAACTGCATAGTGAGACGCAAGACGCCAGCCTGCCCAAGATGCTTAAGCCTGCATTGTGTTTTGGAAATATGCTGAAAAAGAGAATTTTTGAGGGCAGCCTAAATCTATCTGATCTGATAATTTACTTGTAATGTTGCTTAAGGATATTTTCTGTTAATATACTGAGGCCACAAGTATACCATGCTAATATTAGCTGGCTAATCAGTACTATCTGGTTAGAGAGCTGCTTTGCAGACATGATGTGTAGCTTGCCAAATGTAGTGTTAATAATAAACAATAGGTCTACTGCAGATTTCTGTCAGTGGGTTTTAAAGTATAAAGTTGACTAATTTTGCCCTCTTAGCCAACTGATTGACAGTGTGCAGTACTGTGCTCCTTTCTGCCCACTTCTTATGGAGTTTCAATAGCAGTGTTTAAAAACATAAAAACAATATGATGGAAAGTGAAGCATTTTTGAAGAAAGTTATATTTTAAAACTTGTAATATTTTCAAACCTGGCCACTTTTTTTAAGTGACTTTATAGAAGGGTTGTCGTGATCCAAAAATTTCAAACGTGATTTCGATACCCGGGAAAATATGCGATACTGGATATCATTTTTGATACCATGGCAATAAAATACGCCAAATACTTAAAAGCATAAAAAGATACTCATTAATATATAAGATCCTTTTCAATCTCAACATTGCACATGCTTTCTCAACAGAATGAGAGATGATATCAGTTGAATGAGTGTAAAAATAAATGTAAAATATAACACAGTTTCACAATATTTTAGGTTATATCGGGTTATATCTTTTCAATGTGCAGAAATCTAAAAATAACAATAGCAAAAATAAGTATATCATGTAATTATTATTAATAGTTTTAAAGACTCAACTTTATAGTTTTTGTCTCAGAGCTACAGAATGGAAAATATACACTGCCCCCTTTTTAGCTTGTGAATATCTTTAAATAATTATCGATAAAGTCTACTTTTATAGTCGCTTAATCCCTTTTCTGGCATTTTCTACAGTTTTATGGTTTGTATTAGTTAAAGAGGAGTACAAACTAAAGCTTTCAGCAGAAATTCAACACAACCAGCAGTAGAGCCAGCGATACAGTTCCACATGACCATAGCAGTCAACAACCCCTAGTGATGGTGAGCAGTTTCAACAGTCCAGAACTGTTCTGTTGGCTAACATAAACTTTTACAATCTGTGTAAAACCTGGATGTTTACATTCATAAGATAAAGGGGACACTTTCCATTATGTTATCGAGAGTCTCATGTTGCACTTGCTAACATCTTGGCTCAAAAGCTTTCTGTACCCTACTGCTGCCTTCATCTATACGTCCACCGCATGGATATAACTGTCAGCGATGTATTTTAAAAACAAAGCAGGCTGTTCTCAAGTAGATGCCAGGCCATCAGGTCACGCGTATTGTTTCTGTGTCCTTCGAGCTTCGGGACAAATGATAAGAGAACTAAAAATGCATGTCCAGATTGTCTCGGTTGTTCTGTTTCCCGCAGCCTTTTTTTTTTCCCCCTCCATTTACCTCATTATGTTTTGTTCTATTTGTGAAACAGCTGTACAGACTATAATAGTCCCTGAAATTCAACAGAAAATGCTTTATCTAATGAGATCCAAAAGTTTAACATATCAAATAGTACGTTAGGCATGGCTAAAAACTTTGGATGATTTTTGTATTCTTGACATCACAGTAATTAGCCTTTAATTTACCAGGTCTTTATCTAAAATATCAAATCATCTGAAAGTTGTTCATGTTTCCCTTCTTAGTATAGCCAAAGCGGACATCCTATTTGACAAAATGATTTTTTAACAGATAATCAAAAGGATCTAAGTTTGTGGTCCGTTTATTATTCATATTTCAATGTTTCCTGGCTTTCCTCTCATTTAATTAAACTTTTTGTTTGAAACCAAGACCAGATAATCTAAGTAGTTTGTTAAAAATCCGCTTCTGGAAATGTTCTTGATTCCACTTGGATGTAGTTCTTATTTGTGCTTTCCAATCCTGCATATTGAATGCTGCTTTATATTCTGCATAACTCAAGTAGAGGAAGCTCCTTGTAGATGGTCTAAGTGGCTGTTCTGAGTTTTATCTAACCGTCTTTGTAGCTCTTTGTCTTTTCTGTTGGACACAGCAATATTCTACTGGGAAGGATTGCAAACTTTGCTCCTGAAAATGTCTTTATTAGAGTAACAACTCTTTGCTATATTGTATGAGCCAATAGTGATATCGCACAAAAAATGGACAGCCTCTGCGTCAGAGGCAGGAGAAAAGGGAGTACAAAGAATCATTTTGAAAGGATTCACTCAGGGTTCACTGGTAATGTCGTACATGTTCTTCATCTTCACACACGTTCTGCACACAAAGCAGGCCGTGCACCCTCTGCCCTGCTCTTGTTTGACAGGGTCACTGGTTTCTGTCTCTCACTCACAAATGCAGGAGAATTATTCTTCCATTAACGGCTAGTTCATCGGTGTGCTAGGCGTACTAGAGCAAAATGTTGTTTAGGACAGTATGTAAATATGAGAGATCAGCTGAAAAACAGCTCAAAGTAAATATCTGAAGGCACTCATCATTTCTACATCATGATCATCCATTTGACAAATCCTGTCTTGGCCTTTTGTTGTGGAGACAGCTTGTTAATTTGAGGTATTATAATACTGATATCATTTCACAATAATTCAGGGTACATACTGTGTCAATACTTGGGTGTTTTTAGTGAGCTGTCTGCAAATTTTGATCTCTTGCAGCCTGTTACGTGATTGATTAGGCTTCCCCTTTCTTAGTGTCAGAGAGCTCATAGATGAAACAGCCACTCCTACTCCTTCTATACTAGAAATATTGTGAACTTCCTAACATCTCTGGACAACAGTCTCCCCTCGGAGAACCTCTACCAGATGCATAAACAGAGTGTCTCAACAAAAGGAAGGCACTGACAATCTCCAGCATGTAGGATATGTTTTATAAAGAGTGACAAAAGGCACCTCCTGTCTGCAGTTAAAGCAAACTTCAGACAAGGCGTAGAGTCCTCCGGAGCCACCAGATGATGGCTCCCAGACACTTGTTACAGATGAGTATTATGTTTTAATAAACAGCAGAGGACACGTGTAATGGTTCTATGTAGTGGTAGACATTTTCCGGGGGGGGGGGCGGGGGGCTCACTGGTGTAAAGCAAAAGGTTATATTGGACTTCTTTTTACAAATAGACCTGATGATTCATTGAACTGACAGGAGTATGAGAACATTTCTGGAACACTTCATAAGTTTCTGACGTAGGGATGTCCCAATGAGGAATTTTCCCTTCTGAGACAGTCCAGAATCTTTTAAGAATAGGGATCCGCCAATAGAGAAGAACCTTTTTAAAACATTATGATATGTATTAGAATCCCTGTTAAAAATGCTTGATAACTTGAACAATGTGAGGTATCAATCACTCCTTCTAGAGATAGACTCGGATCTTTAATACGAGTCTCTGCCGGACAGAGACTCGTATTAAGGACCAACCAG